GTAGGTCCCCAAGGGCTGGCGAGGTCATGGCTGCAGGTGGAGTAGGGCTGGGGCTCCCAGAGCTTTGTGACCCAGGGGAACCAGGTTTAGCTGGGGCGGGGTGCTGTGGCTGGCTCGGCCTCTCTGGCTTGTTTAGGGGACGCAAGGGGCCAATCAGGTTGAACCACTGGGGAAGAGTTCGGCGTTGAATGGTGAAGAGCTGGCCAGGGTCTCGGCCGCTTACATAGAGTCTTAGTCCCCACGTCTTTCCCCCTTCCCATTGGTCAGTCCACCAGGCGAGAGGCACGAGGAGGACGGGGTTACAATTTCCGATCGTGCAGTTCTTCAGGGCCCCAGGTCGAACCTCTCTTTTCAGACGGAGGAGCTTGTCGGTGGGAGGTTTTTTCCATGGGGCTAGGGTCTCACAACCCCAAGAGGCACAATAGAAGTCACCCTCTCCTCCACAGTTACTACCCCCTTCCTGGGGGCAGACATAATGTCGAGTGTGCCACAATTCTTGCTCTAGGGCTAGGTCTCCGCACCTGTAACCCCTGGCTTTGGTGACCCGGGGATGGCCCCCTGAGCCACACCCAGTCGATGCAGTTTTGCTACGGGAATTTCCCCAGTTTTCTTCAAACAGTTTACAGAGATCTGTCGGGATGACAGGCGCCCCTGTTCCAACAACAGAGCCTATAACAGTCCCATCAATAGTACGTGTGACCTCCCAAGAGTAATTTCTGGCCAAATAGGGATTTCCCAGTCCCGGCTGCAGGCAGATGAGTAGAGTTAGGAAGAACACTGAGTGAGTCTGACCTTCAACGGGTCTCCGGTCTTCTGGACCCGCCATCCCTCGACGCTGTCGTTCGTTTTCTTAACCTGCGTACGATGGATCCAGTGCCTCTTTCCTGTGACTTTGATGGCGGTTGGAGTGCTCAGCACCACCTGGTAGGGTCCATCCCATCTAGGTTCCAGGCTGCCAGGGTCGTGACGCTTCACCCAAACAAGATCTCCCGGAGAGAAAGGCTGTGTTGGACTGGATCTCAGCACGTCCTCCTCCCGTATGGCTCTCACCACCCGTCGTGCCGACGAGGCGCTGCTCTGCAAAGCCTGTAAGGACTCTCTCGAGAGTCCAGGTGGCTCGGTTTCCGAATTGAAAGTTTTGGGTGGAGTGGAGGCCTCCTTGGTAGTCGTTCTCCACAGGTGTGGGGTATCTCGCTGAGTGCCCGGCGACAAGTGGGGGAGAGCCTCCTGCCTTAAATAGGGGGTCCCTCTCCTCCCTGCCGGGGGAGAGCCTCCTGCCCTAAACAAGGGGTCCCTCTCCTCCCTGCCGGGTATCTCGCTGGGGCCTCCAAATGTTATGGGTTGGCTCAGCGAGATAGACCACCAACTCAGAATTTAAATTTAGGACCCTTTATTAAGCTAGCCAGCTGTCTGCAGTCCCAGCACCCCGCCGAAGCAAAGGCGGAACTGCAGCAATGACTGCAAGCGTTACAGCCTATTTATTTGCAAAAACTACAAAGGTACAAAGCCTTGTTTACACAATTTGTTCCCGATATAGTATAGCATTATCACCTTCCTATCTATGTTTTCCGAGAACAGAGAGCACAGTATATTGAGGAGGGACCATGAGACCATATCTCAAGGCCTGACCTGATGTCAGTACCTTCCTATCTGTCTGTTCCAGGAACAGACAGTGCAGCGCAGATAGTACAGCGCGCCCTGATATGCAGCCAGTACAATACGAGCTATCAAGACATGGAGGAAACGTTAATACATATTGTTAAGGGAAATAAGCCAATCTGAAAATGCTGTATGTAGTATGATTCCAACTATGACATTCTGAAAAAGGCGCAACTATGGAGACAGTAAAACAAAACAAACAAACAAAAAACCTGTGGTTGCCTGGAGTCAGGAGGGAGGGAGGAATAGGTAGACCTCACAGGATCTTCAGGATGGTGAAACTGATCTGTGTGATTCTATAATGTTGAGTTGGTGTTACTATATATTTGTCAAACCCCATAGAATGTACGCCAAGGGTGAACCCTGATGTAAGTTATGAATTGGTGGCGACAGTGTTGTGTCAGTGTAGGCTCATCAGTTGTAACAAATGTACCTCTCTGGTGCGAGGTCAAAAGAGGAGGAGGTTGGGGAGGGGGCAGCAGGTATATGGGGAATCTCTGTACCTTCCACTCAGATTTGTTAACCTAAAACTGCTCTAAAACAGAATTAATTTTGTAAAAAGTCTTTACCACAAGACTTTCCAGAGCCATTACCATTGGGATGTTATATTCCAGATGCACAAGAGGTGTCATAATATGCAATCTTTCCCAAACTCCTTTCAGCGTTGTTATGAAACACCTATGAGCATCTCACAGACCTCAAAAGCAGTTCATGGATTGCTGCTCTCAGCCACTCCATTCTCCCCTACCCCTTCTACCATGGCCCTAGTTCAGCTCTTACCCTTTCTCTGTCCCCTAGATCTGGTCTTACTCCCTCAAACACATTGTTCTCAGTAGCTGCCTAAAACTCAAATCTGACTGTCTCTCCACTGTTTACAACACTTTAAGCTAAACCCCTTCCTAGGGTATAGGAAGCCCCTGTCACCTGGCCCAAACCCCCTCAATCTTACCTCTTACCACCCCAATTCACATACCTTAGAAAGATCGAACTGCTGTGCTTGCCCGAATGTTCTGTGCTCCTGTAGGGCTCTGTTTACACCTACTGTCTGTCTGTCTGTAATACTCTTCTCCCCACCCACTGGTTAACTACTACCTCTCCTCTAAGTTTGTTGCCCCATGAGACTGTGAGCTGGAGAGTGGGGACTATGTCAAATTCCTTTTTTCTGATCTATTTTTTCCAAATTCTAGAAGCCAATGGGCCCCAGGCTCAGTCCTCGTCTCATGGGGCTTTCTTAGGTGACAGCCCCAGTCTCAAGGCTTTCCATACCATCAATCCGTAACAGCTCCCAGACCGACACTCCAGCCAAACAATTTCCAGTGCAGACATTGACCCTTGTTCTGTCGGCTCCTTCTCCAGATCCCCACACAACTGGCTACTTATTCAGGCCTCAGCTCAAATGGCACCTCCTCCTGAATTCTCTATTCAAATGGTCCCATACCCACTTTTCCCCCTTAACTTACCTTGTATTATGTTTGAAATGAAATCATTTTACTTTATTGTCCACCTCTCCTACCACACTACCCTATGAGATTGGGGAGTTTTGATTCATTACTTTATTTCAGAGCCTTAGCCACTGTTTGGCACATTGTAAACACTAAACATTTGTTGAATGAATGAATGCCTAACATAGGTCTGATACTTGCTAACACTTGAGTGATGAGTGCTCGATACTGTGCTACATGCACCACAGGAACTGCTTCCTTTTACCTAAGTATTACCTTAGCCTATTTCACACTGAGACATGGGGTTTATTGCTTTCCCAGGTCACACAGTAAGCAGGGATATGAATATTGGCAGCTTGATCCAAGATTCCTTTCTTAGCCACTGTGCTATCCTCTCACATCTGGAAGTATTCACAAGGTGTATTCAGAGGAAGGCAGGGAGGCAGGGAAGGGGGAAATGCTTCTAGTTCCAATGTTCTGTGACTCTAGCAGGTGCAGATGTCCATGGTTTCCTCAGCTCACAGCTCTAGACACTGCTGGATAAAGGCCCCCTTTCTGCGGCCTGGGCCTGGGCCTGGGCCTGGCCCTTGGGTTTGCCCCACACAGGAAATGAGAAAACTGGCCCCTGAAAGTGAAAATGTGGGTGGAATTCACCCTCCTCCAAGAGTGACACACAGTAACAGCAAGCAAACGGTGCTTCCCTGCAATATTTATTAAGGAATTTACACATACACAGGAGAAAGGCAACCAGGGATTGTGGTTCCCATAGCTGAAATCTTTTAAGCAAAGTTTTCTTGTTTTAATTTTCAAGTAGGGTGAACAATGACTGAGAGGAAAGCTGCCCGGGCTCTCTGCCTCATCCCTGGCACAGGTGGGGAAACAGAGCAGCCCGGATACACAGGCATGAACGAGTGATTAGCAGGTTGGGAGGGGAAAGGAGGGAGAGAGCCATCAATGAGACTGCAATTCTTTTTTTTTAACTATAAGAAAAACTGGCAACAGTTTTAGGCTGTTGATAAATTAATTCCTCTCTGTTGTAAACCTAAACCTGAAAAACCAAAAACAAAAATACTCAGAGCAGATGGGGAGAGAGTGGGAGGTGGAACACACACACACACACGCACGCACGCACACGCACAGTACACGCGTTAAGCTCTGCATTCCCTCTGGAAGGGCTGGTCCTGCAACCGCGGAGCCAGATCCTACTGCAGGCAGGATGGAGGCAGGGGAAGGGCTGTGTGTTTTGTGAGGGACCTCCATAAGTCTTTGGTGTTAATAAAGGCTGACTGAAGCAGCAAGTCCTGAAGCTTCAGATCCAGAAAGCAATGCAGGGGACCGGAGAGTAATGTTTTTGCTCATCCTCATAGATGGGGTTTGTATCTCCCCAAGGTTAGGGGCCAACCTGATCTCAGACCCAGTAAGTATTTGATTTTATTTCATTACTTTCTTCATTCCCATGAATCCTGGGAGCATAATCCCTCCCTCTTCAACTAATAATTTAAATATGTAGAAATAGTTTATTAACACACATGGAAGTATCTCTAAACCCTCCCCTCTTTGCCTAAAACACACCTACAGACCCTTCTGAGAATCTGATTGGAGGTTTAACCTTCCACAGTAAGTGCCTTCTGCCAAGAATTCCTAAGGTGCTGGTGCAGGAGAGGACTGGGGTGACTGGGAGGAAGTCGGAATGGCTAGGGGACATGTACATATAAAACAACAGAGAGGTCTGCGTGTCTCGGAAGTGGCTGGGCTGGGCAGAATGCCAAACCCCAAATGACAGATTGAGCAATTTCTAAACCAAACAGAGAGAGGTAGGAAAAGGGGAAGGGGTGAAAGAGTTGGAGAAAGAGGAAAAGGGGGGAGAGAGGGGGCGGAGGAGAGCGGCAGCCATATAGGTGATTTGTATTCATTTCCACATCTGAGAGCTGAGAGTCTGACTTGCTGCCTGTCCATTTCCGCCGCTCATCGACGGTCCATAGCTCAGCATGCCATTGGCTCCACATAAGTTCATCCCAGCCATCTGCTGGGTCATCTGAAAGGGAGAGAGGAGACTTTCAGACCAGGATGTGGGCATGCAGCCAATGAGTGCAAAAGGCAGGGCAGGAGTCCTTCCGTCAGTGGGGATGGGAGAATGAGACAAAGAAGAACTCTTATGGTACTTAACTGCTCTGAACCTCAATAGAGCATTTCAAGGACACCAGACCACATAAATGAAGGACTTTTCAGAAAAGAGATATTGACAGAGACTAATCATACTCAGGGAGGGAAGAAGGAATCCTGGAGCGAGACAACATAAAAGCAGCATGAGAAGTTATTGTTTTTTCCTTCCAGGCCCGCATCCTAAAGAGAAGGGGCTGACTGTTCATTTGCCGCCAACAACCCCGAGAGTACAGAGAAACCCCTCGCCAGCGCCCAGCCTGATCTCCAGCAGAGTTATTACTGCCGGTGAAAGTGCTTGCGCACGCTGCAGCAGAGAGAGAAAGAAACTGGAGTGTTCAGATGAACAAAGGAAGGCACACAAAAAAGCCCACCGTGTCTTCGGTGCCTGAGAAGGGAAGTTGTCGGGAGAAAAGAGGCAGTGGGGTCAGGGCCTCTTTTTGAATTAGACTGAAAGACCAGCCTCTGGCAGAGAACGGAAGAAACAATCCATCAAAGCAAAACACCTTACATTTCCTAAGCCCAGGACATTTTCTCTAGAAGTTCTTTTTCTTTAGGAGTCTATTTTTCTTCCACCAACTTTTAAAGAAAATTTCAAGCTTACAGAAAAGCTGAAAGAAATAGTACACTGAAGCCCATCTATTCCTTCCTTTCTTTTTTTTCTCTATTCCTTTCTTAAATTCACCAATTATTAGCATTTTGCCATCTTTTCTGATACATCTGTATAAACTTGAAAAATTTTGATGGGCACTAAAAACTACAGATATTGTGACATTTCACCCATTACGTCAGGATGCATTTCATAATAAATAACACATTCCTGGAACCACAATATAATTAACAATATATTAACAATATATTAACAATATAATTAACATGCTCAAGAGATTTAAGATTAATGCAATATTCTGATATACATTTCATTTTCATATCTCTTTAGTCCCTTTAATCTAGAACACTTCCCCCACCACATTTTTCTTTTTTTCCTGACACTGTTTTAAGAATCTAGGCCACTTACTCGGCAGAAAATCCTTCCATTTGGATTTTATATGATTGAATCCATTTCTGGCAATAATTTATGAAGGTGATATGCCCTTCTTAGGTCTTAGTGCAAGATACCAGAAAGCACATGATATTAATTTGTCCCACTCTTGGTAATTTTATGTTTGATCACTTGGCTAAGGTAGTAACTGTCATTATGTTTTTCACTGTAATTAATACATACCTGAAGCATATTTCTTTGAGAATATGTGATACCTATTTTTCTACAATTATTAGTTGTCATTCTTCTGTTACAATCCATTAGTGCCATTTTTAGTTCAAGAGCACCCTCTTCTGTTAGTACAGTGAAATGACTATTTTGCAGGGAGAAGGATGGCGAAATACACCATCCTTCAAAGAGCACATTCTCCTTTTAAGTCACCCCACCTCCCCTAGAAGCCACGTCTTCCAGGGCTATCATCTCTAATCCTATATATTTCAATACCTTAATTTTGATTCTACATATAACGAGAGCCCTAACCTACCAGGTCTCAGACCTCTTCTCAGTATGTTCCCAGTCAGGGTAGGTCTTTCTCTTTCTGGGGATAATTTCATCTATAGTCTGCCACCTCCTCCGTGAGGCTGGCTCTGCTGGGTTTTGGTGTTTATATGCCAACTGCCATGTAATCTGAAGTCTGGAGCATTCTGGCTACTGGACGTGGTAGCCATGGGTAAGTTATAGGTTTTATTTGCGCTCCTTGTTTATCTGTAAAGGTTGTTTTTGTTTTGATGGATGCATAGAGAGATTTAGGTTTTGGCAGTTACCCTTATTCTACAGGAATCCAGAACTCTGCAGAAAGTCTGAATTTGGATATACCTTCTAGAAAGAAGAAAGAAAATAAATGCAAACGTAAGCATAAGAATGTCTCTCGTGTTATCTCATCTACTGTGAAGATTTAAAGGATAAGAGAGAGACACAAAGTGAGGTGGCCTTGAGGAAGTCTGAAAACTCTTGTCCCAAATAAAACGGGGTAGCTTACCTGAGTAAGGTTCCATTGCAGCTGCTGAGCTGGCTGAACCCCATACATAGTCTGGGGCATAGCTGCCATGCCTGCCATGTAGCCAGCCTGCTGGGTGGTCATCATTCCATTTGGCACACCCATCATTGATGCCTGCATGCCACCCATATAGCCTGCAGGCATGGCCATGGGGGCAACCATCCCAGAAGCCCCTGGCTGAGCTACCATGCCTACTGGTGGGGGCATCATGCTCCCCATTATGCTATTAGGAGGTGCAACCCCAGGGAAGCTGGGGTAGGCTGTGGGATATGCCATCTGAGCAGGAGCCATGAACATTGCTGCCAAGAGAACATACGTACAGATTTGTTAGGAAAGCACACAAAGTCAGCCCAAAGTCTCACTGGCTGCTCCTTTCCAACTAGAATTTCTCAGGACTCAACTCAGAATGCTCTTTTACACAGCCACACAGTTACACAGATGCCTACACGCCTTGTCATGGCTTCCCACCAGAGGGTTCCTGACCTAACTACTTCCCCTTTACGGTCTAGATCCAGGCTTGCGTCAGACTTCACAGACATGTGACACCAGAGCCCACAGAAGAATCTGCTGGTACTCTGTGGCTTCACAGAAATGTCATTCACATGCAGGCTTGTTTGGAGTATGATATCACAGCCCTCATAGCAACTGCCCTGTCGCAACAAATAACTCCTACATTGAAGTCCTCGTGTCTCTATCTGGCATATTGCCAGGCCCTCCAAGAACTCTACCTTGGGCAGGCATCTGAGGCGTCTGGGATCCGTACAGTGAGAGGATGGAGTCTTTAGAGAGCTGTTTCTTGCCTGTTTCTTCTGATTTGCTCCCTGGCTCTGGAAACAGGTTCAGGTTTTCAGGAACAGAGCCGGCACTCCCTGCAGTTGGCATGGAACCTACCACCTTAGGGCAAAGAGGGCAGGGGGACAATTGGAATGGTCCTCATGGGAATCTCTGTAAAGATCTCCCTCATTTCTCTGTTGCTTCTAACATGTGCATTAAGAATTGATGGCTGGCCCTGGCTGATGTTGCTCAGTGGTTAGAACGTCAGTCCACACACTGAAGGGTTGCTGGTTCGATTCCCAGTCAAGGGCATGTACCTGGGTTGCAAGTTTGATCCAGGCCGGGCCAGAGTGCATGTGGGAAGAAACCAATCAATGTCTCTCCCTCACATCAATGTTTCTCTCTCCTCCACCCCGCTCCCTTCCTTTCACTCTTAAAAAAAAAAAAAAAAAATCAATGGGAAAAATATCATCAGGTGAGGATTAACAACAACAACAACAAAAAACCCCCAAAAAGTCCTAGCCATTTCAGTTCAGTGGATAGAGCATCAGTCTGTGGACTGAAGGGTCCCGGGTTGGATTCCAGTCAAGGGCATATGCCCAGGTTTTGCAGGCTCGCAATCCCCAGTGTGGGGCGTGTAGGAGGCAGCCGATCAATGATTCTCTCTCATCATTGATGTTTCTCTCTCTCTCTTTCTCTCTCTCTCTCTCTCTCTCTCTCTCTCTCTCTCTTTTTCCTTTCCTCCCTGAAATCAATAAAAATATATTTTAAAAAATAAAACAAAAAAAGAATTGATGGCTGAGGTTAGTAGTTGGCATGGAACCTACCTCCTGACATTTTTACCAAACAAATATCAGAAAACACCTAATAGTTAGGCTCTGGAACAATGCTTTGTTCTTTAGTAAAACAATGTAATTTGCTAAACATATAAGACAAATTTTAAAACTAAAAGCAACCGCCCTAACCAGTTTGGCTCAGTGGGTAGAGCATCAGCCTGCGGACTCAAGGGTCCCGGGTTCAATTCTGGTCAAGGGCATGTACCTTGGTTGCGGGCACATCCCCAGTAGGGGGTGTGCAAGAGGCAGCTGATTGATGTTTCTCTCTCATGGATGTTTCTAACATCCCTCTCCCTTCCTCTCTGTAAAAAATCAATAAAAAAATAAAATAAAAATAAAAGCAACCTATAAATGATACAGCCAGAAAGAACTGAGTTTAGATGCTGGGCACATAAATTTTCTGAACTAATGTTTCCTCATCTATAAAATATCATTTTGCAGGATTGTAATGAAGATTTTAAATTATAAGCAAAATATAGAAAAACACCTAGCACTGTGCCTGGTACATAGCAGATATTCCACAAATAGTAGCCATCAAATGTTTCAAGTCTTTCACACCTACAAATCCTCTGGCAATAACTCAGGCCGAGGAGTTGACCTCAAGTATCAGCTGTACAACCTGACACACCTTAGACAGAAGCCCACTCAAAGGGCCCACCCTTTTTGGGCAGGAGAGAATGGAACGAATAGTAATCTTAGGCTGTAACAGAGACAACAGTGTATTAAGGAAAGAATCAAGAACCAAGAAAACCAAAGCCTAGTTCCACCAAGGAAGCATGACTCAGCTCCATGATTAAGTGATCAAAATCACTCTTTTCAGAATACTCTTTAAATCCTGAGGAGCCTGCCAGACTCACCTTTCTGGAAGTGGAAGAAGAGGGGGATGGAACAGAGGCCAAAAGATCTAAGTCCTTCTCTAGGGCATTGCTGGTCTTACTGCTGGTAATGGAGCAGGCCACAGGAGCATCTGGAAAGAAAGATTAAAGTAAAAAAAATGTAGCACTGCTCATTAAGCCCAGGCCCTCCTTCTATTGTAGACACAATGAAGACAGGGAAAGTCCATATACTCCATCATGGATCTGGAAATCTAGGCTTCTGGAACCATCTAGCTTGGATGGGGCATCTCAAGAGAGGCCTTGCCCCACATTCCCAAGAGCACTCAGGAGAAGCCTGCAGCCCAGCTATCAGGCAAAGGGGGCTGGCTGGCTCCTTTCTGGCTATTTGAGAGACAACCCTGTGTAGGATTCATTTTCAGAGCTAAATTAAAGATACATTAAAATTAGAAGCCTAAGTAGCCAATAACCTAAATCAGCAGAAATGGATTGAAATAAAGTACAGCCATCAGTACTGTGAAAGATAAAGAACAGGTTTACTTCTGAATGGGGCAGGGTTTTAAGGTTTAGAGAAAAATGAGCACAAGATAAGGGGCACCTCAGAAACAGGCTGCACCTGAAAAATGAGAGGGACGGTGCAAGGCTCACAGGTGCTGGTTTAGTGAAAACTGCTACCATGTCCTGAGTGCTTAGTATGTGCCAAGCGAGGGGCTAAGAGCTTTAGAGGCATTATCTCACTTCATCCTTCCAGCAACACCTTTGACATGGACACTTATATCATCCTCATTGCACAGACAGGAAAGGAATGTTCAGAGGTTATGTGAACTACCCAATGTCACATAACAGCAAGTGGCAGAGCTGGGACTCTGGCTCTCAAGGCTGTATTCTTAACCACTCCATTGTACTGTCGCTCTGAAAATGTCACAGTAAAACTTTCTTAGCACAACTGCTCAGACACAAAACAATAGGAAGAACGCGAGAGAACACTCTTAGTGACAGGGATACAAACTGAAAGACTCCCATCTCTGCCCAGCTTCCCAGGGTCAGAGAGAATTTGCAAGATTATGGGAGTAGGAAAGTCTGACTCTTACCAAGGCCTAACAAATCCATGACAGGTGCTGTGGATTTCGGGGAGCTTTTCCGAGGTAGCTGTGGATCTTCTTTTTTCTGTGGCTAAGGCGAAAACATGTTATTGAAAGAAATAAGCAGGTGTTTTGAACCCTTTCCCCTCCCCACTGTAAAGCCACAGGTTTCCTTGTGGTATGGTTGATGTTATTCAAAGAGAGTAACCAAAGAAACAAAACTCAGGAAGTGTCAGGTGAAAGAATCAAGTCAGAGGTACAAGTGCATAAATCAAACCTAAAGTGAAAAGCAAAGGTGTCATCTGTGCTTGTTTGGCTTTCCAAAGAGACAGGTCTGTCTGAAACCAAGACAACCACAGATCAGGGGTCCAACAGAAGTAGCAGGTTTTGGTTCCGGGAAAAACCAAGAATAAAGGTAGGTGTCTGATGGTGCAAGAGCCAAAAGCCAGCAAATCCCCCAGTGATTAGAAAACCTTTAATACCAAAAGGGAGATCAGTCTAAGGATTACCTAACTCACTCTGCCAATATCACTAATGACTGTGTTCTTTAGACAGTGCGATTCAGAATGACGATAAAACACTCCTCCTTAAGCAAACAGTAAAAAGTCCTCTCTCCTAAGATTCCAAGATCTGATATTAGATATCCACTACCACAGCCACAATATGTCCTGTGGAAAGAAAAAGGTGTCTACTTCAATATGACAGAGCAAGAATACAAGAAGTGATTGCTTAAAATGGATCAGTCTGGCCTGGCTTCTGGACTGTTCTTAACTGTAACAGGAAATGAGATACAGAAGATCTAATAAGAGGTAACATCTACTCAGAAGGTGTCATACAGCCTTGATATTCTGGCATGGAACATGCCTTTTGCTTAAATGGAACAGATGTGGTTCCTAAGCTGCCATCTAACTCCAAAGAAACTGTTACAGAGCAGATTAGGCGACAATTAGCTGGGAAAGAAGCTGAAGTGGCAGCAGGTGAGCTCATCTAAATGCAAAACCCTTTAGTCCCAGGTACAATATGCTATCAACTGCAGGCCACCCCTCCACACTTATAAACACACCTGAGGCCATCCAAAGATTTCAAATACTTTCCCACTTACCATTTTCACTTTCTCAAAAACAATAGGTTCCATTTTTTTCTCTGAAGCTGGCTCATTCCCTCTTTTCCACTTGTCATCTTTTTCTTTCTATAATGATTTAAAAACAAGACAAAGAACACAGGCCCAGTAGTGACTAGCAGTTTCGATAAATTGTCATTTCAAATGTCCAAAAAGGAAACAAAAAGTCCCTGTTGACTCTGATACAGGAGTCTGACAAGCTTTGGAGTTTCTTGGTGTGGGGTATGAGAGTCGGCCTCGTCCACATCAGCCTCAATGCTCTAAGAGGCATCCATCAAATACCTTAAGCACCCGCCCTCCCTCATCTGTCTTATGACTCTTGAAATGTGCAGGTCAGGCTATCTACAGAGGAAAAAACATTTTGCCCGTCTGCTGCTCCTTTCTGACTCAAGTTTAATTTGCTCATGCTTTGAGGGGTCCCCCCTCATCTTGGTGAAATAAGTTCATGTTCATCTAACTAATACATACCCTTTGTGATTTTATAAATTCAGTTATAACTTCTTTCCATCTTTATCTTTTTTTTTTATATCAGGAAAAAAATGTCAAGCTTAATGGTTAGAAAAATAATAATCAAGGAAATAGGGCCAAAAAAGAGTAAAAGGATTGCAAAATATCCCAAATGAGCCGCCTGTATAAAACCAACAAGTACATCAAAAAAATATATTAGAAAGTCTCTCTCAGTTTTCGTTACTTTCAGAGGCTGTTTCATAATATTTTCACCCGTGTTATTGGTCATATTTTAAAAATCATATAAACATTTAAATGTCAAACAGAACCACAAAGTAAACTCAAGAACAAAAGAGGTAGACCATACATGTGAAAATTTAAGGCTTTGCTACTGATCAAAAAGTGCAATTTAAAATGCCCTTTTTTTGCGGGGGGGGGGGGAGATGACAAAGATCTTAATAATACCTAATGTTGGTAGAGATGAAGGAAAACTAGTACTCTAATATAGTGCTAAGAAGACAGTATAAAATAGTACAACATCTGGAAGTATACTGGCAAAAGTATGAAAGACAAATACTGAAACCCTATGACCTAGATAATACCATATTTTGTAATATATCTTAAGAAAATAATCCAAAATATGGAAGACCTCATAGGTACCAAGTAATTCACTCCAAGTAATTGGTACATAGGTACCAATGTAAATCACAACCCTTATGCCACAAAAGGAAAAAGGTAAGATAAACTGTGATCTAAGCATATCAAATAAAAAAATTGAAATAGCCTTTTGGTAAACAGGAGTTTTTTCCTTCCTAAATGGAAATATCTAGTGAGTAAAACAGGCTGTTTTCATGAGCACACTATCTTCCTACAGAAACTCTTCCCTCATCTTCGGGATGACCTCAGATACCCTTTTCTGAGCTCATCTAATTTCACATCTTCAGGTACAACGAACAAACGTAGGCAGACAGACCATAGTTTTCTACAAATAAAAGGCAATATATGTACTTTGGTTTCAAACCCTTTCTGATGCCATCCAAGCTGTAGCTATATACTGGGTTAATCTCCCTTGGAACAGTTAAGATAACTTCCAGATCCCTTTTCTGGATGACTATGAGGTAAGAGTATTACCTTGCACTTATCTATCTGCATTGAAATTCACCTACCAATTAATGCCTTTTCACATAACCTCAAAAGGTCAATTTGGAGCTCTAAATAACCTGGCAGGGCTTAGAGCCCTGTGTAAACTTAATGATTTCACTAACTAGTGCATCCTCCATTAGAATAACTAACTAGATGGATGACAGATAGGATCTGTGCTAGAATTCGAGAATACCATACTTTCTATCTTTCTGTGTCTCAAGAAATAGTCAATTACATCTAAAGAAATTTACTGTAGAACCTTGTCAAAGGCTTTTTAAAGGTCTAAAGCAGGGGTCCTCAAACGACGGCCCGCGGGCCACATGCGGCCCGCTGAAAACATTTATCCGGCCCGCCGGGTGTTTTTGCCGCCGCTGCCTGTTGCTCAGCAGCCGACTAGTTTTTTTTTAAAAAAACTATAGTCTGGCCCTCCAATGGTCTGAGGGACAGTGAACTGGCCCCCTGTTTAAAAAGTTTGAGGGCCCCTGGTCTAAAGAGTCATATTTATTGGTTCTTTAGTTGTCAGTAATCAGGATTAGTCTTCTTCCAGAAACCATGTCATATTTCCTCCTGTATATTATACTTGTCCTAGTTATCATACATCGTATTTCAGATTCTAACCACATGCCTAGGATGAAAAAGCATACTTGGCAACTGGTAGTCTCCATCTAAAACCTTTCTTAGGAACAAGGGTCATCCCATTAGCAATCAGTCCACCAATGCACAGGCAATACATGCTGGTCAAGCTGAAGGAAACTGGTGATTTAATTACACTTAATTGTTGACTTCACTTATGGAAACAAAATTTATGTATGCATGAAGGGTTTGTATGTGTGTATATATAAATAATATAAATTTACATGTATAAACATATACATATATATATGTATATGTACATTTTCTATTTGATCTCATATGCCCAACATGTCCAGCTGAAGAAATAATTTGGAACTGGGAGTCACTAGCATCCAAATGCAGATCAAGACAAAGAATTCACTGATGGTTTGCCCTGTCTGCCCTTGAGGCCAAACTTTGCTTCATGATATTTCATGGTCTTGATTCAAGAACTGGCTTTTTTCTACCTCTATATCTTTATTATTTTATCGATTTGAGAGAAAGCGAGAGGAAGGGGGGGAGAAATAAAAAGGGGGTGAGAGAGAGGGGAGGAGGGGGAGAGAGAGAGAGAGAGAGAGAGAGAGAGAGAGAGAGGAGAGAGTCATAGATAAACATAGATTTTTGTTGTTCCACTTATTTATGCATTGATTGGTTGATTCTTGTATGTGCTGACCGGGAATCAAACCCAAAACCTTGCTGTACTGGATCAATGTTTTAACCAACTGAGCTATTTCTTAAATGACAGTTTTTGAGCATGTTAGTAACTGATCTTCAAATTCTTCCCTGGCGCAATTAATAAGCAAATTACTTATTATGAACAAAACTTGAAAGAGTTACAACCAACCTTAAGGGCACTGATGTCTAGACTTCGGTCCATGTATTTCTTCTTCTCATATTTATCTCGAATAAATCCCTCGACAGCTCTGCAAAAAGCTTATTAAGGATAAATCAAGCAAGTCTTTCCCAGGATGACTAGAAAAGGTCAATCTGTATCCCATGGAACGTTGTTCTCGCTCCCTCCTGCCTGGCTTCCCCATACGGCTTCTGTCTCTTCACATGTAGTCTCCCTGACCAAAACCTTGAAATGCCTCCCTCCCAGTTATTACAGGGAATCCCATTTCCTCTGATTTTCCGTGGAAGCACTGATAGCATCAAATGGGATTAGTCTTCATATTGCCAGCAGAGGAGCCTGTGGCTGCTCTAGAAGACAGATAAAGCATCAGTCAATTACCTATTTTAAAGCCCTTAGGTCAATAGGCCTTAAACAAAGGCAACTAGTGACCCTAAAAACTATAAACTCTTGCGCCCCGTGGCCAGATTCTGTGGCCCCAAATCTGCTTTTTAACAAGTTCTACCTGCACCAACCAAAAAGCCAACTCTAACAAGATGGTCAAAAAACCATGGCTTTTGGGCGTTGGTTTTGTGAGCTGGGTGCTCTCCCATGCAGAGGGGACGGGAGAAAAAAGTTACTAATTGGTCAACAACAGCTAATTCTTCTTTTTTTTTTTTTTTAATATATTTTATTGATTTTTCACAGAGAGGAAGGGAGAGAGATAGAGAGTTAGAAACATCGATGAGAGAGAAACATTGATCAGCCGCCTCCTGCACATCTCCTACTGGGCATATGCCCGCAACCCAGGTACATGCCCTTGACTGGAATCGAACCTGGGACCCTTCAGTCCGCAGGCCGACGCTCTATCCACTGAGCCAAACCGGTTTCGGCAACAGCTAATTCTTTCACACAGAACATAAAAAGGCCTTAAAAAGTGAATGGTAGTTTTGCTGATTCAACACAACACAGTAAACGATTTTTACTAAACAATAGCTTCAGAGACCCAAATAACTACTGGAGATGTCACTTTACAGAAGAAGTCACAGTGAAACTGAACCACTGCAGTCTTGATTCCTGAGTTTTCCCCCTGTGGCACCACCATTCTGACACAGAAAGTATACATGTGCTTTTCGTAGGCCTTGGTTGCAGGAGAGAGAAAAAAACAAGATATGACTAATCCACATAGATTAGATCTGACTACACAGACAGATCATGAGATGTGACTATTACATGACTCTCCCAAAACACCAAAATACCACTCAGTCTTCTAAGTTGCTCCAGAAAAGATACGGGTCTATCTGAGGTCGCCGGAAGGTCTCAGGAAGGTAGGCTTCATAAAGTCGGTTTGCCTTTCCGTTCCCCATCTCTTGCATACACTGCAGTCAAAGAGATGTGGAAACACGGAATGTCAGATTAGGAAAGAATTTTAAAACTTCTCACCCAATGGCAGCATTTTCATTGAAGAACCAAGCTAGAGGGGTAGAACCAAGATTAAAACCTGTGTATTTAGAGTTCCAATCCATGATTCTCTCTACTTTGCTCGCAACCATTTGCCCCCACAGCTGTCTTTCCTACCTCACCCCTGAGTTCCGTTTATTGAAAGATCTGTCTGACAAGATACATTTAATTTAGTAATAATTCAAAATTCCATTTGAAAGTCCAAGACACAGCTACCAAATGTCTGCTTGGCAGGCAATACTCAGTGCCTGATCTGGCAGGCAACATGCAGGCAGTAACTACACTCGGAATTTATACTATTAGTTAACCCATTCAGCTTTATTACCAGTAACTGTGTTTTACACTAGGCTTTTGAAATAGATTCCTTAGCACTTGTGAGGGATAAATCCCAAGATCTTTTAAAATCTTCAAATTCCCAAATACCTCTATGGCATGTAGTTTCCTTCATAAGATACAGTAAAGTGCAACTGAAAGTATAACTAAACTTTAGACTTTTAAAGAATCTATAAGCCCTTGCCGGTGTGCTCAGTGGTTATGGTGTTGGCCCGAGCACCAAAGGGTAAAAGGTTCAATTCCCATTCAAGGGCAAGTATCTAGGTTGCAGGTTCAACCCCCCTGACCCTAGTTGGAGCACGTGTGGGAGGCAACCAATCAATGCGTCTCTTCCACATCTACGTTTCTCTCTCTCTCCCCACTCCCTTTCTCCCTTCCACTCTCTCTAAAAATCAATGGAAAAAATATCCTTGGGTGAGGATTAACAAAAAACAAAACACACACACACACATACCAGTCTAAAATATTTCTAAGACCATGTTCTGGTTAAGAATAATCTCTTATTTCTACCATCTACTTTAGCAACTGGTTTTCTTTGGATCCACTCTCCCCAAGAATTTTTTTTCTTAATTATTATAAAAAGTTTCAATGCAGGATGAGAACAGAGAACAATGAAGCCACATTGAGGTGCAGATCTTGGGGCAGCTGGACTCACTAACTCTACTGTCTCACTCTCAGCCCACCAGCCTAACAGCAAGCATTTTAGCAATAAAATGTTTTAAGTCTATGAGAGGGCTTTTTAAATTTGTTTTTAGAGAATATCTAAAACTACAAATGTTAGATCTGCAGATGTCAAGGGTCTTAGAAAATAATCCAAAGATCCTCCTTTACATCTTTCTCGATCCACGGGGTCCTAGACCATAAACCATTTGTGATTTGAAGGAGGTAAAATAGAGGTGGAATAATTTGTACTTTAAATAGAAAGATTAACATTTTCACTATTAAGGTATGAGAACTGGATATAGGTGTCTGACAACTAAACTTTCCTTTATCTTTGTGCCCAATTTGAAATTCATCCAGAACTACTTTAGCACACTCTTGGGTTGTATTAAGTACCTGAATCTGTTCTTGAGTCCACTGGTCAAGGTTAACTGATTTTACCCTGGATATGTGCACCCCCAAATTCCTGTGGATTCCAGCACATCGAATGCAGATGAACACACCAATGTTCCAGGAGGCCCATCGTGGCCCTGTGAAGGTCAGGAACAGTCAATAAAGTACAAATTAAAACAACATTCAAGGCTCAACCTGTAATATTTAAATTATCAAACATTTCAGCTAGAACACAAGTGAGAGGATTGTTATCTCAATCACCTTTTTATTGGTTTAGTTCATTCCTCCATGAATAGGCTTTCCTTTTTTTTTCATTTAGCTTTAATTTTTTTAAGTGTACAATACAGTGTTTTTTAGTATACAGGGTGAGGCAAAAGTAGGTTTATAGTTCATATGAAAAATAACACAATAATTAATAAATAATAATATAAGAATAAACCCTCTGCTTTGCATAATCACAACTGTAAACCGACTTTTGCCCCACCCACCCTATATTCACACAGTTGTCCAACCATCACCACTATCTAATTCCAGAACATTTTCACCACTCCCAAAAGAAACCTCAAACCCATAAGCAGGCATTGCTCGTTTCTTCCTAATTCCTCCCCAGGCCCCAGGCCCTGGCAACCATAAATCTAATCTGTCTCTATAGACTTGCCAATTCTGGACATTTCATATAAATGGGATTATGCAATATGTGGACATTTGTGTATGGAGCAGCCTTTTACAATGTCTGGTAATATGAGTACTGAAATGTAGATGTTGTAATACTGTTACTTATATAAAAAAAATCCTAGGAGAACAGTGAAAAGTTATATCACATTCTATTTAGTATCTTACATGAACAGCCCTCCCTCAAGCAACTTTTCAATGGTGGTGGGGCCTGGATTCACTTTTCCTACTAGGAAAAAAGATACAGACATGCCATACTGGCCTAAGGTTCAACCTGAAATCTAAAACTTTGTTTATCCTCCCCTCCCTAGCAGGCCTATAAAATATGCATCCAGATTAGGTTAATAGGATCCTTTTTCCTTGGGCCAATGTCCCTACTTTACCCTATAGAATTACCTAGATTCAAGAATGTCAAGTAAAGATGCTTATTGAAATAAAAAAGAAATCTCAGATATGTATTTTAATTAAAAATGGTTACATAATCTCCCATCCCTTGCCAACTTTGCTCACCCTAATAATCACTCTGGAAAGCTATCAAACTCCTCTTCATAATCTTTTTTTCACTCTTCATAATCTTTTTTTCACTCTTCATAATCTTTGTACAGGAAAAGCAACTTATTTTTATATAACACCTGACAAATACTTACTGAAAAATCACTAATATTTCCTTCTCCAACATTCTACTAGGCAGAAACTTCCCACATAAAATAAGCATGATATCAAAGTTAGCAGTTGCAATAGAGATGAAAAGACACAAAATTATTTTCCTCCTGAGATAAGCAGGACCCTGGGTTTTGAACAACTAAGGGCACAAGACTTCAGTTCTGCTGGACACAATTATTTGGTTGGTCTGCAGTTTTTGACAGTAGTCTCAATAAAGGAAAGCTAGAATTGTATGCCAGATAGTCTCAGAAATTTGAATCCACGACTATCATAAATAAGAATGTAATTTTTAAACAAAGATATCATTCAGATACTATGGCGAATACTACAAATACAGAAGGCTCAAATCCTCCTTATAGCCACCAGGTGGTGTTCTCTGCCTGAAATTTTACCCCAATATCTTCTTATTGCTATATCTCGATAGCCTCAGATTTATCTTCTAAAAAGACCTTCAGTCCCTTCAAATCCCTAGATAGATTTGCACAGTAGATCTGCCTTATAGCTAATAAACATATAAAGGATTCACACATTTCTTTCGGTGGCAGGGAGTTACATAAACACAAACAAAAAACCTAAACAGATATGAATGAAGTTTCATAGGGGGCTGTATGTCTATTTTAGGTTACAGTTTTCATAAAAGAACTCAGATATGGTCTAAGTTATATAGAGTTAAAAATGGGACCAAAAGTTAATATCTCATATTTCTTTACCATTTTCCCTTTGCTTTAGATTCTAGAATTCATGATAAAATAAAGTACATTTGTTTGTGAGCAAAATCAGAAGCCAAAAACGTTAATTACAAGTTGCTGTGGAGCATAAGGAATATAGTCAATAATCCTATATAATAAAAGCCTAATATGATAAGTGTCCAGTCATCTGTTCAATCAATCAATGTGTAATATGCTAATGATATGCTAAGGCCGCTCAACCACTCACTATGATATGCACTGACCACCAGGGTGCAGACAGTCAACTGGTTCACTAGTCGCTATGACATGCACTGACAACCAGGGAGGACAGATGCTCCAACCGGTAGGTTAACTTGCTGCTGGGGTCCAGCTGATCTCGGGACTGAGCGAGATGGGCTGGACACACCCTGGAGCCCTCCTGCGGTCCCTTCCCTGGCTGGCCAACCTCCTGCATCCCTCCCCTACCCTGATTGTGCACTGGTGGGGTCCCTCGGCCTGGCCTGCGCCCTCTTGCAATCCAGGACCCCTCGGGGGATGTTGGAGAGCCGGTTTCTGCCTGATCCCGCAGGTCAGGCTGAGGGACTGCACTGGTGCATGAATTCGTGCACCGGGCCTCTAGTAATCTAATAACTATGTACGATATCAGAGGTACTAGACCTATCAAAGTGATCACTTCATAGGTTATATAAATGTCTAACCACTATGGTGTACACCTGAAACTAGTATAATATTGAATATCAACTGTAATTTCTAAAAAGTTTGGCCTTAGCTGGTTTTGCTCAGTGGATAGAGCACCAGCCTGCGGAATGAAGGTTCCTGGATTCGATTCCGGTCAAGGGCACATGCCCAAGGTTGCAGGCTCAATTCCCAGTGGGGGGGACGGGGTGCAGGAGGCAGCCGATCAATGATTCTCTCTCATCATTGATGTTTCTCTCTCTCTCTCACCCTCTCCCTTCCTCTCTGAAATCAATAAAAATACATATTTTAAAATGTTTTAAGACTTAAATTAAAAAGTTAGATGTGGAATGTTATGGTTTGCTTCCTGGCCATAAGTCAGAAAGTGCTTCTCAGTCATGTCAGCCACCATCACACTGTGGAAGTTCTCCAGATCCTACTGCAGAGTATTTAAAGACTCTGCCTCTGAGGAGTGTACGACTGATATGCTGGAACTACTAATAAGGCCTCAGTACAGAAAGACAGGGAATAACATGTTCATGAAAAGCCAGGAGAGCCTCCTCTGCCCCCTCCCATACCACATCCCTCCTACAACCTTTTCCCAGTGAAATAATGACAGTTCTACCCCAGACACTCAGCCTCCTTTAGTTTTAAGCCACTAGATTTATTAGTCAATAGCTGTATTCTCCATAACAGATTCTGAAATTGGGTAAGAAAAATAAGATAGAAAAATTACTTATATGGCTGAAAATAGTGTCATTATTAAAAGTATAATCTTTGCAGCAACATAAAATTTAGTTTGTATGTCAGCTCCATCAATGATTAGCTATATGACCTTCAGAGATATTTAAATTTCCTAAGTCTTGGTTTAATCATGTTCAAAATATGTACAATACCACCTACCTCACTGTGCTTAGAATGTAGAGGGATAGTGGCAAAAGAGAGTTCCGTAAGTACATGGTATAGAATGAGACTTCCACAACCCATTTCAAACTCATCTTCTTCACTGACAAGGACTGGTTAACTCATTCAGATGTATATACCAACAATCTATGCAATAGTGGAGAATGCTTTTTAGACAGGCATGAGTTCCAGACTGAAAATGTCACAATCAAAGTTGACTGACTGGATAGAAGAAAGAAGGAATTTACTCTAGATCCAATGTCAAAGTCTTCTAGAAAACATGACATTTAAGCATCTTCCTTTATCTCCCTCAAAATATTCCTTGAAAATGCACTATCTAAACCCCCACCCACTTCCCTTCTCCACTACACACTCCCACCCTGCCCTTGTGCGTACACATGCTTCCACTGAACATACCAAGGAAGGCCCAAAGCTGCTGGCCTGCCATGCCTGGGCTCCACAGCATCTGGTATTGCTGCTACAAAGCCAGATTACTTAAGTCTGGTATACTTGCAAAGATAAACCAATTGCTCAATACACATCAGTCATGGCAACCAGGAGAATACGTAAAAGATGCCATTTTGAAATTGAAAATGGAAAGGGACTCTGAGAAGCAATATTCTGAACAATTTCAAAAGCAAAGAGAATAGACAAGTGATATAAATTGGTAGCGATGAGCACAACACAAGAACAAGGTCATAGCTAAGTGAGCATATTCAACAGGAGCCTAGGAGCAGGCTCAGGAAGCATGAGGCAATATTAAAATTAACATATAATCACTGTGCAATAAGGAATCAGTGAAAATAAAGTATATGGATGAGGTTGATGAGTCAAGAAATCGACTGTAGTAAATACCAGCCGAAAACCAGGGAAATCTGGGATGACACTGATAAATACACTGGGCTTTCATTTTGGAAGGCAGCTATGCTCACCACTATACCACCAACGCAACCTTGGGCTTTCATTTTGATGTCTCTCTCGGGCTATGACTCCATTTATAAAATGGAGAGTATATAAGTAATAGCCAATTTATATCCAAATGCTGAGCAGCTTCTAGTGTTCAGTAACTACTGGTGCCCTGCTGCAAATACCCCTCCCCTTGCTGCTAAGACTTCCCCCCAAGGACCAGCGCTGCTAGGCTTAGACCGATTCTGGGCTTGAGGAGTCAGCAGAAATGAGAACTAGAGTTATAGGCAGCTTGAAGAGACTAATTACAGATCAATAGCCTCTAACCTATGGAGTTCCAAACAAATAAATGTTGAGGGGGGGATGATAAATTTTTAAAATCAATGTAAAATAAAATCAAATCAAGTCAATGTCTATGCAGAGACTTGCTGGCATCATGGAGCTGTTGAAAAGCTCTTCAACAGAAGAAGAGTCAAGGATGGGAGAGAAAATATCTTCCATCTTACATGCAAGCCCTGTTGAACCTACCTTGGAAATTTTCCCTGAATCTATCCCTCTTTACCTAGACCTTCTCAACTCTCATATCTAAGCATTCATTCTGTTAACATTACTTACTGAGTATCTATTAC